AGGGTCTGGTGCGACAAGGCGCGACACGAGCAGGGGGCCGACAACTGACCTGACGCAGACGCAGACGCAGCTACCTGAGGGGACTCAGTGGTCATGGTGTACAGGCTCGAGCCAGGCTCACGGGTAAACGTGACCAGGTGTCGGCCCGTCCGAGCACACGTACAATGAGTCACTCGCTGACGCGCAGGAGTGAACTGGTCAACCCCCCCATCCTGGAGGTCAGCTCCACTCACCAGGTTCGTAGAGAACGAGGGGAGGTAGAGACGTGACAGCAAGCCAGACGGGGCGGCCGGACACGGCAGAACCGTGGAGTAGTGGGCAAGGACTGGACCCCCAGAGGGATCTGCCAGGGAGACTGCAACTGGCCGACTAAGCGGCGTGAGTGGTGCAGTCGCGAAAGAAGGAGCGGGAAGCTCCTGAGTCAAGGGTGAAGGTGTGCAAGGTCGCAGCAGGCGAAGTACCAGAGAGGGCAGACTCACCAGCACCTGGAGCAGCAGCCTCACCAGCACCTAGAGCAGCAGGCTCTATACCTGGGTCAGGCGGTACGCACAAGTAACAGGCACGGTCAGCACTAGTAGGGAATGCATACATGGCAGTGAGAATAGCATCATAGTCAAGAGCAAATATATCTACTCTCTGCCCAAGCAGCTCCACCCAGTCGGGGAGCTCAGCCTCGTCGCCAAACTCGGTACGCCAGGCGTCGCTCAGACGGGCAAAGCAGCGGGACTGTGTGTGACTAAGCGTCCCGCAAGGCTGACCAGTCCGAGCACCAGTGCGAATGACGTAAGAGCAGCGAACAGAACTGAGAGACCCTCTACTCTGAGCGTACCACTCACGAAGCTGCTGGGGCGTGCGAGACTCGCGTGGACGTCGCTGGAGCTGCATCTGGCCACCGCCAGTAGCAGCAGTAGCAGTAGTAGCAGCAGTAGCAGCGCGGCCACCCCTACAACCCCAACTAGCGTACCACTCACTCAGCTGCTGGGGCGTGAGGGACTCACGCGGACGCCGCTGGAGCTGCATCTGGCCTCCGCCAGTAGCAGCAGGAGCAGTAGTAGCAGCAGTAGCAGCAGTAACAGCCGTAGCAGCAGTAACAGCCATAGTACGTGCAGTGCAGGCGCGACAGGCAGGCAGGCAGGCAGGACGGCAGGCAGGCCGGCAAGCAGGCAGGCAGGCAGGCAGGCGGCGCGGTAGCGCGCTAGCAAGGCAGGGGCTCACCAGTGGCGGGAAGAGCAGGCTCTCACTGGGCGAGTAGGGCCGGTGCTCGGCGGACGGCGGCAGGGTCGGCGCACGACGGCGGCGACAGCGGGGCCGCAGCAGCGGCTACAGTGAAGGGCCGGGTCGAGTCAGCGGCAGGGCGGGGCCGGGTCGTGTCAGCGGCAGAGCCGGGTCGAGTCAGCGACAGGGCGGGGCCGTGTCGGCGGCAGGGCGGGGCCGGGTCGTGTCAGCGGCGGGGCCGGGTCGTGTCAGCGGCAGGGTGGGGCCATGTCGGCGGCAGGGCGAGGCCGTGGCGGCAGTAGGGTGGCGCGCGCCGCTGCCTGGGGCCGCGCACTGGCGGGTAGAGCACGGCGCGGGCTGCGCGGACGGCGCGCAGCGCGCTGCGGGCCGCGGACGCGCCGCGTGGGCTTTGGGCGGGCTGCGCGGGGCAGCGGCGGGCTGCGCGCGTGCTGCGCGGGCTCGGTGCGGGCCGCGCGGGGCAGGTGTGGGCCGCGCGCGCGTCGCGCGGGCTCGGGGCGGGCTGCGCGGGGCAGCTGCGGGCCGCGCGCGCGCTGCGCGGGCTCGACGCGGGCTGCGCGGGCCGTGCGCGGGACGCGACGCGGCTGCCGAGGCGCGATTCGGGCAGGAGAGGGCGACCCGCGGGGGTAAAAACGAGGCAGCGCTTGAAAATTAGGTTTGCGCGCGAAGCAGCAGCAGACAGCTCAGACAGTAGACAGCAGACAGCAGGCAGACAGTGCGCGCAGTGCAGCACGTCCTAGGTACAGTGACAGGCACATTCGTGGGGTAGCGGTGGGTGGGCCCGAAAAAAAAGACGGTCCTACGGACCTACTGCTCTGAAACCATGTCAGAAGTATAGGCAGGAGTGGATGAACTATGGAAGAGTTGGGTACAAATATCAAACCCTAGAAGGGGTTGTACCCCATATTGGCTACCCCACTACAGCCTAAGCATGTATAGCATACATAATCTGACACTACCTGCTTGCCGACTTGGGAGAGTGGCCTCGTTCTCCTCCAGTTCTGTACGTCGACAACAAAGCCATGATTGCCTTGTTTCAAGACCACAGACTGGAGCACAGAACGAAGCATATCGCTCTGCATTAATTTCTCGCACGAGAGTTGCAGCAACGTGGTCAGCTTCGTCTTGCTTACGTGGCCTCACGGGCCAACACTGCTGATATTTTCACCAAGGCACTTGTGTCTAGTGATCATCAGCGTTTCTGCACTAGTCTAGGCCTTGCGCATACTCTGCCTCACATGCTTACTGCGTGACTTTGCCTTGTACGGTGATCTTTACATATACACATTCATGCTTACTCTTGCTAAGTTGTGATCACTATATTGCATGTGCTCTTTATAACTCTGCATGTGAACTGGTCTTGTGACCATTTGCTTGTGCTCGGACTGTGTGGTGACTTTGTGATCCACCCTGAGCTGTGCTTTGCTTCTTCTCTTGACTGGTCTTATGGCCATTGCTTGCTCTGGCTATCCCCCATTTCGCCTAAGGGGGTGTGTCAAAACATATATGTTTGTATTGATGTAGGCTGTAAGGGGGTTAGCACTAGGGTGTACCTTTCTCGACATTGTTCTTGTTCCCCCTCCTTTCACCTAGTCTACATCATTCCTACCTAATTACAACATCGTGACCTCCCCCAACTCCTCCTCCTCGCCACCCACGTGGCCCACGTCCAGGTCACCGCCGCTCGCTTCCAGCAGCTTGCGCCCCCAACTCGCCGCGTCCACGCCTGCGCTTCCCCCAGCAACGACGTCGCCCCGCTTTGGCACGGACGCGGCATAGAGTGCGGGGAGAGAGACGAGGACCAAGGCGAGGATGAAAACGGTGCAAAGAGTGGCCATGGTTACAAGCGATTTCAGCGAGCGTCGGAGCGTTGGATTTCGAAAGTAGCACTGACGATGGCGTGCAATGATTAGATTATGGATCCGATTTGGTTGATTTTCGAGCGCTGAGAGAAGCAACTCAGTCAACTGATGGTGAACGGCGGAACGGAGGCAACATAGGTATCAAGGAAAGATGAGGAGGCGAGGATGGTGGAGGGAGAGCGTCGGTCACCACCATAATGGTACTGCTTTCAGCAGATTGTGACATCTGCTTGCACAGCTCAGCCGCACAACGCGCAACATGCCGCAAAACTACTGGAGTGTACGTAATTAGTGTGGCTAATACCACCGCTTGTTGCGCTGGACTCCCATTCGGAGTTGGACCGCAGCGCGGCAATAATGGTTGGCGGTCCATTTCGACCTTCGTCAGATTACCAGCTTGGTGAATTTCGAGAGCTGTGACTTTCGGGACTCATCTCCAATGACGAACACTACAAGAGTTCGCCATCTAAATCGCAATGACATAGACACCTCATTCCAGCAGCTCGCCCGGCTCGCAGTTATTGCTCGTATGATGGCTCCGCACAACGCGCTAAAGACGCGCCACCTTTGTTCGATCCCAGCACCGATCCTACGCAGGATCGTTTTTAGCGGGGATAAAATGGAAAAAACGAAGGATTTTTCTCCCTAAAAGAGAAAGCTTCGTTTTTTACCCCATTTTATCCCCGCTATAAAACAATCTTGCGTAGGATCGATGCTAGGTTCAAACAAAGGTGATGCGTCCTGAGAGTGCGTGATGGGTTGGATGAGGAGGATGGGATGGATACGCTAGAAATGAAGACACCTGCTGATAAGCACGCGGGATGGGTTGGATTGGAATGGTATCGGCTAGGTTGGGTTGGGTTGCAAGCCCAGAGCAACGGTCTTCCAGCAGCAATGGCATTTGGTGGAAATCCTAATGGGGGGTGTGTTACGAAACAAGTATCTATTCTTGTATGACTCTATGTTACTACTAAATGAATAATAAAAATACATATCTTCCACCAACAAATGGGTATCAAGCCAAGCTTCTGGTCTGGTCCCTCCACAAGTGTGCGTGCAGTGCTTAAATATATCCTGGAATACATTCGTAATTTGCTTTTGGGTGGTTTTAGATTGATGCCTCTGGCGGACTGGAATGGCAATCGTGACGTGACGCCTCATTGGCAGTCATTGCCCAAACTGGTGCCAAAGAAGAACATCTAGACAGCTGGGCGGGGCTTGACCTGGAAGAGGCGCATCGCATGCCAAGCTGCGAGGTGGAGCAGGCTTCCACGGCGAGGATACTTCAGAAGCGCTGCACGTCGTGCGTCTCTGCAAACCACTGGAAGACTGAACGGGGAGGAACGGCAGGTGGAGCTGGCAGTTTTAGCCTCCAAGGATGCACGCCGTTAGTCTTTGGGAGCCACTCAACGACTTGAATGGGGGGAGCAGGGCCGGTAGGGTGATATACGCTCAACTCGAGCAGCATTAGGCTGGAAACGTGAGAGATGATTGGGGATGGGGTGAACGAGGGTGGGAACAGAACAGGTGTCAGTGGGAAGGGAATGAGGGAGAGAGAGAGGGGAGGTACACTATGATTAACACCCACAGCCTAGTGCATGGTTTCCCTGCCCACACCCTTGGTTCAGCCTAAGCGCACCCTACCAGCCTCCCATTCAACTCACACAACCCCTCCATCCCACCCGCTCCTCACTCACCGAGAATGTCCCCTGACTCGACAGCAGGTGGCTTCCATAGGTTGGCTCCCCCGTGGCTCACTTTCACTTCGTCTCACCCACCCCAATCACTTCCTTACCACGCAACCCCGTCACTCACCAAGTATGTCCCCTGGTTTCACAGCAGGAGGCTTTCAGGTTGACTCCCCCGCTCCAGTGGTTCACTGGGTTGCCTTGCACGAACCAAAAACTAACTGGCAGCGGCTGTTGGGAAGGTGGGGAGGCGAGGACAGATGTAGGGTGCAGAGCGGTGAATGGGGCTTCCACAGTGAAAGACACAAGCGCATGATTGTTGAACTGTGCGCACAGGTTGACTCCCCCGCTCCAGTGGCTCATCGGGTTGCCCTGCAGGAACCCGACCATCACTGGCAGGGGCTGTGCAGGAGGGAAGAGAAGGGCACGGATGGATGCAGGGGTGCAAAGCGGTGAGGGTTGCTATGACAAGTTTACTCCCCCACTCCAGTGGCTCACTGGGTTGCCCTGCAGGAACCCGACCATCACTGGCAGGGGCTGCTTGGGTGTGGAAGGGCAAGGACAGACGCAGGGATGCAAAGGGGTGACATGGAATATCACAGGGAGAAATACCCCCCTCCAGTGGCTCACTGGCAGGGGCTGTGGGGGAGGGAAGAGAGGGTGTGAGGGCAAGTACGGCATGAGAGGGATGTATTGGGGAAAGAACATGCTAGAGAAGTGCATCAAGCAAGGTTTGCCGGGAGGAAGCAAATGGAAGAGTGGTATGTGGGAAGAGGATGCGAAGAAGGGTGCAGGAATTGCTTGTGGAAAGAGGCAAATTCGGTATATGGAATCAGTTTTTTAAGAGAATGTCATCAGGGTTGGGGTGTATATGCTATCAGTGGCGCGTCAAAATGCCAACTACGGAACCATAGCAGCTCCCACTTGCTCTCAAGGTGGTCAGCGTCGGTAACGTTATCTAGAGCCTGAATTCTTTCTGCCACTCTTCACCTCAACTGACGGTGTGCGTGAGCAGGACAGGACAGACAGTGAGCCAGTTGTGGCGTGTGTGGTGAGTGCGCAGTGCGTGTGGCGAGTGTCTGATGTGTGTGGTGACTGCCTGGTGTGTGTGGTAAGTGCGTGATGTATGACAATTTCAGATTCAGAACACCAAGATTCTTTTCACGACCCCATACTAACTTTCAATGCCTTCAGCAAATGCATGGTAGCAGCAGATATATTTGCGATTACAGAAGAACCAAAGGAGCACCCAGTTCCGCTACCAACCATGCACTCACACCACACACGCCCACCTAACTCTTTCACCCACACACACCACCTAACCCTTCCACCCCCCCACACACACATACCTCTCCCAGCAGCATCACCAGGACAGAACTAAGCAACCAAGTTTGCAAACCGTGCCACTTGCAAGCCACATCAGCAGCAACAGACAGAAGGGACCGCAGCAGCAGGCAGAAGCACCGACAGCAGTGGAGGCAACAGCAGCAGCAGGAGCAGCGAATGGAGTGCCTTGTCTGCCGCTGCAGAACCCCACTGCACCGAGCTGCTACCAGCAGCAGGCACCATACCAGCTGCGCTGCTGCCCTGCCTGCCGCTGCCCAACTCCACTCCGCCGTGCCTCTCACCCCTCCAATCTCCCCTCTCCCACTTAGATCATCGTTTTCGCGGTCTTGACGAACGAGCCAGCGCCCGCCTGCAGGGCACCCTTGGCGCCCTTGCCGCTGCGGAACGCGTTGACTGCAGCCGTGAGCGCCTCCTTGCCGCCCTTCTTCACCACATTCTTCACCAACCCTCCCGCCTTCTGCCCCGCCTCGCTCTTCGCCGCCTGATTCGCCGCGTTCTTGATCTTCTTCCAGCTCAGCAGCACCCGCACCGCCTCGTCCAGCCCGTCGTCCGTCGCCTCCCCCACCTCCTCCTCCTCGCCACCCACGTCCAGGTCACCGCCGCTCGCTTCCAGCAGCTTGCGCCCCCAACTCGCCGCGTCCTCGCCCGCGCTTCCCCCAGCAGCGACGTCGCCCCGCAGTGGCGCGGACGCGGCATAGAGTGCGGGGAGCGAGACGAGGACCAAGGCGAGGATGAACACGGTGCGAAGAGTGGCCATGGTGACGAGCGATTTAGAGAGCGTAGAAGCGTCGGATTATAGAAGAGAGCACTGCGAACGACGATAAAGATCAGATTTGGGTGACTTTCGAGCCCTGAGAGAAGCACTCAGTTGGTGATGGTGAATGGCGGAATGGAGGCGACTTAAGTAGCGGCGAAAGACCAGGAGGAGGAGGAGGCGAGGGTGGCGGACTCGGTATTCGCAGTTGGTCGCCAGCATGATGGTCGCCAGCACGATGGTCGCCAGCATGATGGTCGCCAGCACGATGGTCGCCAGCATGATGGTCGCCAGCATGATGGTCGCCAGCATGATGGCCCCCTCCCAGCATCGCGCGGTTATCGCTGGCATGGCTCCGCCGCAAAACGCGCAACATCCGGAGAAAGCTGTACTACTTCTGGGGTGTGGCAGAGGCAATCGAGTTGGACGGCAGCGCGGCAATAATGGCTTGATTCAACTCATCGCCTCACTGGCATAGGGTCTCGCCTCGCCAGATCGCCAACAAGGGATTTTTTAGAGAGCAGAAGGTGAGGGTTGGGTGGGGAGGAGAGGAGAGGAGAGTGCCGTCTGTACCGTCGTACGCAGTAACCTAGTTCTCTCATTATTGTTCGCATCATGGCGCCGCACAATGCGCAAAGAGAGACTGTCGCGTGGGGCGTTGGATGCGGCACGCTGGTCAACGAGGACTTGAGTCGAGAGCTCAATGCCAAGAGAGCTCCGAGATCAGCGGCGGCAATAATGGCTTCTGGTGGGAAAGAGTTTTTCGAAGGGGACGAGGCGTGGGTGTTGGGGAGCGCGTTCAGCGGGAGAATGGCTTGTGTGCGAACCAGCTCTAGTCGAACGCCAGCCACTTCGATGATGCGTCGGCGAACAGCTCGACGATAAGCGGAACTTACTTTTGCAACATGGCCGAGCGATGAAAACTTCCTGTGTTCAAACGCATGCATCTAGAAAATGCCATCGAACGAAGCCCAGGTAACTTCTCGTTTCGTTTCTCGTCGACCGATTCGCTGATACGTTGTTGGGCTGGTTGCTTTCGTTGGGATCGAGCTGGCTGTGAAACCAGCCCTTCTCCAAACCGAACACGCTCCCGAGTCCCGAGCACTCCCTCCATCCGTCCTCCCCTCGACAAACCAGTACCCGCTGAGAGCCATTATTCCCGCACTGCCATTGATCTCGGAGCTTTCCTCTCTTGCGCTTAGCTCTCAAACCCATGTGCACAGCAGCGTACGTCCTCGTTACCAGCGTTGCTGCATCCCAACGCCTCACGCGCCAGTCGCTCTTTGCGCGTTGTGCGGCGCCATGATGCGAGCAATAACTGCGAGCTGCTGGAATGAGATTAGGTACTGCCGCTACGGTACAGGGAGCGCACTCCTTTCCCCCCACCCAAGCCTCACCCCCTGCTCTCGAGCTTTACTTCCTTGGCGATCGGACGACGAGATCGGGCGAGATTGGGCGAGTAACTTGTTTGATATTTGAAATCAATTTACAGCCATTATTGCGGCCGCGCTGCCGTTCACACCAAGTACTCAACTTCGAGTCGGACTCTACCGTAGCACGCGCTAGCGTGGACACCAGAAGCCCTTTCCGCATGTTGCGCGTTGTGCGGCGGCAATAACGGCGAGCTGCTGAGAGGAGACCATGGCGAACCACCTCTGCAGCTCTCTCCACCTCATCGCCTGCTGCGAATCCCTTCACGATCCCTCGCCTCCTCCTCGTACTTCGCCGCAATACTTAAATCGCCGCCATTCCACCATTCGCCACCACCAACTGAGTTACTTCTCCCACTGCTCGAAAATCACCCGAATCTGATCCGCATCATCGCTCGGGGCTACTCTTAGAATCCGACACCGCTTTCACGCTCTCTTATAACGCTCGTTGCCATGGCCACTCTTCGCTCCGCGTTCATCCTCGCGTTGGTCCTCGTCTCTCTCCCTGCGCTCTATGCCGCGGCTGCGCCACTGCGGGGTGACGTGGCTGGTGGAAGTGCAGGCGTGGACGCGGCGAGTTGGGGCCGCAAGCTGCTGGAAGCGAGCGGCGGTGACCTGGACGTGGGTGGCGAGGAGGAGGAGGTGGGGGAGGCGACGGACGGGCTGGACGAGGCGGTGCGGGTGCTGCTGAGCTGGAAGAAGATCAAGAACGCGGCGAATCAAGCGGCGAAGAGCGAGGCGGGGCAGAAGGCGGGAGGGTTGGTGAAGAATGTGGTGAAGAAGGGCGGCAAGGAGGCGCTCACGGCTGCAGTCAACGCGTTCCGCAGCGGCAAGGGCGCCAAGGGTGCCCTGCAGGCGGGCGCTGGCTCGTTCGTCAAGACCGCGAAAACGATGATCTAAGTGGGAGAGGGGAGGGGAAGAGGCACTGCGGAGTGGAGATCTTCAGCGGGAGACAAGGCACTCGATACGCTGCTTCTGCTGCTACTAGTGCCTCCTCTGCTGTTGCTGCGGTTGCTGATGTGGCTTACAGGTGGCACAGTGTGCAGAATTGGTTGCTGAAAAATTCAGGCTTGGTGATGCTGGGAGAGGTATATGTGTGTGTGTGTGTGGGTGGAGGGATTAGGTGGTGCGTGTGAGTGAAAGGGTTAGGTGGGCTGGTAGTGGATCCGGGCGTGCCTTTGGTTGCTTGGTGATGCTGCGTGTGTGGGTGTGGGGGGCCGGGTGTGGGTTGTGATGCTGGTGTGGTCTGTGGCTTTTGTGATGCTGTAATTTCAGATGCTTCTTCTACCGTAATCCTGCTGAAGCTAAGTGTTGGTTGTGGAAACGTTTTGTATGCTGTATTTGACACACAGCAGGAACTCACTAAGCACATTGGGCATTAGCCTTGCACAAGCATTTGGATCGTCTCTCAAGATTCGACATACGGTAGCACTCGTACTACCTTATTGGTAGTAATACTGAATGTAGGAACCATATTGGAAATAGAATGTGAAGAAATTTGACGTAGTCTTGTAGCAGTACAGACTTGTACCGAGTAGTTGTTGTAACGGGGCACTGTTTGCCGTACCTTACTAAAGCCCCCGACCCAAATTGTCCATGTTTTTAAAACATGACGGGGAGGGAGTGTCAAATGTTGTAGCCTGTAGTGAGGTTTGTCTTAGGGGGTACAGATGTTAGGGTTTGTTATATGTACCCCAACCCACATCAATGGACCAACACTTTCATTCTTAACATAGTATCACCTAGGTTAGGATCCTGTGGGATCCCGTTCCTCTCGTTCACGTCCGTAGCGCCCGAGCCTGTCCCGTACCCTAGCGCCCGTTACGCTCGTACTGTCCCCTAGCGCCTATCGCGCCTGCCGTTACGTCGCTCTCGTGCCCTCGCGCCCGCTGCGCCTGCCGTTACGTCGCTCTCGTGCCCTTGCGCCCTACTGAGTCGCTCTCACTGATTAGGGTTTTAGCAGTAGCACTTCCCACCTCTTTGCTTTTGCTATGGCGACCCCTAAGGTTCTTCGTTTTGACGCGGACAGTACACCGCTCGAGTTTCCGGTCTACCTCCTAGGCGCGCGTCGCCTTCTAGAGAGTCAGGTCCAGGCGGGCGAGTCCCTCTGGGTGCACGCTACTGGTGACCTTCCTGCGCCCGACGACCCTACGCCTTTAGGCCCTGCCCCTGACGACGCCGCCAGAGACCGCTTTACCCGCCAGCGTGCTGACCTGACGGCGTGGAAGTCGCGTGACGCTGCGGCCTGCATCGCTCTTAGCAGCCTCCTCCCTGAGTCTGAGGAGGCCCACTTCACTCAGGTTCGCATTGCTAGTGAGTTCCTGACTGCGATCAAGGCCCGCTACGCTACTCCCACCACTGTCTCCCTTGGCCGCCTCTTCCTACCGTTCTTGTTCCCTGACCTCGCCTCGTTTGAGCGCTCTGCTGACTTGATTGCTCACCTCCGCTCGCTCGATTCTAGCTGCCGCGCTGCTTGCACTGACGCACAGCTTGCACTGCTTCCCCCTCCTATGGCGATTACTATCTACTTCATTGCCACTAGCCTCCCTGACCGCCTTGCCTCGGTTCGTGACACGCTTCTTCTGAAGCACCCTAGTGAGCTCACTATCGAGGTCCTTGAGTCTGCGCTCAAGGACGTCGAGAGCAACCTCCGCTCCGTAGCCTCCGCCCCTCGTAGCTCCGTAACCTCCACTGTTTCACGGGTGCACTGTCCCTCAGCTGCCCACTTTTACTGCCTCGCTAGCCACTTCCACTACTGACGTGACCGCAACTGCTATTACGACTACGTCGCGGTCTGGAGGTAGGGGTGGCAGGAGGGGCGGTCAGGGTGCAGGCGGCGGCGGCGGTGGCGGCGTTGGCGGCGGAGGTGGTGGGGGTGGCGTGCCGACAGGTGGCGGCGGGAGCGCAGGGCCTGGAGAGGCGTCTCGTGCAGCGGCCAGTGACTCCCCTACTGCAGCTGGTGGAGGCGACACCCGGACTCGTCAGCCTCCTCCTGGTCTGCCGGCCGCGGTGGGTGGAGCAGCGGCGTGGTACCTGGCCCAGCGGCAGCAGCAGGTGCAGCAGCAGCAGCCCCTCCCCTTGCAGCAGCCCCCGCAGCAGCAGCAGAAGCAGCAGGTTTCGGGGCTGGCACAGCGTCCGCCCCAGCGAGGTGTTGTTCACCCTTCGTGCACCTATCAGGTTCTGACAGGTGCTCGCCGAGGCCAGCCTTGTGGTCGCACCCACCCTCCTGGTCAGTGCTTTGCTCAGCTCACTGACACGGTTCGCTTGGCCTTCGGGGTTGGCGGCCCTGCCCCTGACTGGTTACCTCTTGTTCAGACGTACGGCTCCGCTCTTTGGGGCATGTCTGCTTCTCAGTTGCTTGATCTCTTAGGAACTCCTCATGCTATGTATGCTGTTGTTGATTCTAGTGCTTTTGACTCTGTTTACTCATGTGTTGTTAGCTTAGGTGCTAGTCTTGCTGAGTTGCCTGTTGCTAGTGTAGGCACTTGTGTAGACACTAGTGCAGGCGCTACTTCGGAGGACGCTTCACTGTCTTTAACTCTGGACTCTGGGGCTTCGCACTGCTTCTTCCGC